TCCTTACAGGGAAAAAAAATATCAGTTGGGGTTTCAGCTCAAGTGTTCTTCCCTCTCCATATTCAGCTTGTGCCGTTGTCATGGTATAAATGATTCCAATTCAGAATCATTTATAGAAATAAATAGAAGYAAATAAAAAGTAAAGAAAAGTAAATAGAAGTAAAGAAAAAAGTTCATATTTATTCAGGTGTACTAATTTTTTCTCCCTGTTTGTTGTCAAGTAACAGGGATGATGCTGTAGCACAGCTTTGACACAATTATTCATTTTTATTTAGAAAATATCTGCTAAACAAGAAATATCTGAGCCTCCTCTCAGATAAACATCTGTCAAACCAGGGGTGTTTCAGGTGAGAGGGCTTTTTGACAGAATCTCTTCTGCCAGAGAGTGCTGGGGGTGTCAGCCTGGTGTTTTCCCCAGCTTTTGGGGTGCTCTGCTCCTCCACATCTCCCTGGATTCCTTTTGGAAAGGAATATACAAATACTTTTGGTGTCACTCTGGTGTCTGTCCCCAGCTCCTGGGGTGCTCTGCTCCTCCACATCGCCCTGGATTCCTTTTGGAAAGGAATATACAAATAATTTTGGTGTCACTATGGTGTCTGTCCCCAACTCTTGGGGTTCTCTGCTCTTCCACATCTCCCTGGATTCCTTTTGGGGGCCCCTTTTGGGATGGGACAGGGGGAATAAGGAGGTGCTGGGAGCTGAGATTGCAAAGCAGCAATTCTCATGGCTGCTGCCACCCTTCCAGCACTGGGAGATGGTTCAGGTGAGCTCCTGGAGGAGAGAACACCCCAAAGGTCTTTATCAAACAGTGCCTGTGGAAATTAGGCATTCCCACCCCAAATATGAGGTTCCCTTAAAGGCAAGTGGTCTCCTCCCAGTCTTGCTTTCATGCACTGGGAAGCAGAAAGAGCCAAGCTTTCCCTCTATTTCAGGATTAAAATGTTACTGCTTGAATTTTCAAATGTTGTTTTTCACKACATGATTATGTGACCTACCTTTGTTTATTACAAAACTAATGCCACAAGTTACAGTTCAATGAATTCGCATTTTATTTGAAATTTTTTGTCTGAAGTAGCCTAAAGCTCTTCGAGAAACAATTGCACAAAACCATATGAGAGCTGCTAATTTATAATCTGCAGCATCACAGCACAACTGGCTTTTCATTTGGCCGAAAGGAAATGGTTACTTAGGACAACAAAGAGAGCCATGTGTCCGCAGTTTATATTAAATGCCCTTGGTATTTATTAGGGACACACAATGTATCATCTCGAAAATATTTATTTTCCTGTAATTTCAACAGCAGCAAAACAAAAAATGGAAAGTAACACAGCGCTGTGCCTTTGCCAAACTGCAGCAGATCTGGGGACAGTTTCCTGTTGGAGGAAAATCTGAGATCCTGGCTGTGGATTTTGGCTTAGTGAGAATTCTTTACCCCAATAAAAAAGCAGAGGTGCTCTCAGAAAACATGCAAACATCTCTGCACCACCAATCTCACCCCAGATGCCAACATCTGCTTCTGCTGTGTTCAGCCCTTGGGCTCGGGGAGTTTATTCCCCATTTGGMCACATTTCCCATTGAATTCAGGAAGTATTTAATCTGGGTGAACRACAGAGCCAAAGAAACCTGTGCAAGCAAGCTGCTATTTTTGAGAAGACACCAAGTAACTGCTAGGAGGTATTTAATTTTCTCCACAGTCCACATGGCCTTTAATCTGATTAATCTCTGGCCCTGGCAGYAGAAGATGAAGTTTTGATCCCTCGAATGACAAAACTCTCATTCATTTCAGGAGAGTCAGGATTGCAGCCATGCAGCCAGTCCCAGATGCTCCAACAGAGAGCAGAGAAATGTTGTGGGCTGATTAGTGCTGAAGTGCCTCGCAGGGTTTGGTAATTGCTCATGGAGCTCTCAGCCTCAGAAAAGCTCCAGACAGATTAATCATGGAGCACAGCTCATTGCACCTGTTATTTTCCACGTTCTCTTCGATGGGAAGTGCTGGTTGTTCTCCCCAATCTCAAAAAGGCTCTGCTGAAGGAGGATGCAGAAAACACCAGCAGAATTTGATGCCTCAAGGCAAAAAGGGATAAATGGGGAGCACTTTAGTCCAARGGTTAAATATCTGTGGCACAAACCCTCAAAAAAAGCCTTTTCAGCCAGAGCAGATCTTGCTTGAGACAGATGGCTAATGGTCAGCACAGCCTTTGGGCCCAAGAGGGAAGTTGGTTCTGTCCTAATTTATTTTTTGTGCCACACAAGGAGAACATGACAGTGTTTCCCAATCAGCAGCTGTGGGAAGTGCAGCTTTGGGGGCAGCTGGACCCACAATGGGGCTGTTGGGGCTGACAAAAGGGTTTGATGGCTGTAGGACACAGCAGGGCTCTTTACTGTGCACATTTCAGCAAGCCCAGCTCAGTTTTGGTTGGTTTTTTTCATTATAGCCACTGATATCAGCATGGAAATGGAACAATTTTCCAGTCCTATCAATTCTTTATTGGGTTTCCAATAAAGATCAGAGTGGAAGCTGCTTTTGTGCAGGACATGGAGGCTCACAGCTCAAAGAACATTTCTGAACTTCCTCAGCCCACCCAGGCCAAGCCAAGGTGCTCTGTGCCCGAGGTAAATGCTGCTGATGRAGACCAGCAGCTCCATTCTGCAATGAAATGTTTGGTTTTTTTGTTTTTTGGTTTTTTTTCTGAAGAACCACTCCCAAAAGATGAAAGGGAGCTCCTGTTGCTGTCACAGCAGGGCTCACTGCCACAAAGGGACAGCAAACACACAAACAAACASGATAAAAAGATTGGTTTGGGCTCACTGCAACTTTTGAGTTTTCATCCCTGTCAAGGTCTATTTTCAGCTCCATAGTTATGGCGAGGAACATGGTGTATTTTGATTCCTAATTTAGCTTGTTTATGCTGAGAGATTCCAGGATCTTCATCTGAAAGATAAATTCAAACCTTCTTTTTTTCCCTTTGCAACCCGCATTCCACAACAAAAACATCGCATGCCATACTTCATTGCAGGCCTTGGAAGACCTTCATGACCATAAATTTAGGAGCTTGAGGAACACAATGGACTTTAGGATGGAAAGGAGCCAGYTGGCCTATCTGGTCAGGTCCATCCCTTCTGTTTGAATTAACAGCTGGATTTCACAGTGGGAGAAATCCGGCAGTTCTTTCTCAGGCARAATTCTCACAGTTGGATTTGCCTCCAACCACTGCAGCGAGGGTGGGAGGGAGCACAGCTCACTTTGTTATTTTATGTCAGCTCTCCGGGTGAAAAAAATTCCAGTGCGAGTTCCACAGGATTTGGACCTACCCTGCTCTTTAATTTAATGACCTTAAGTGCAAAAAGAAAGATTTTCCCAGCAGCCCAGAGACAGAGGCTAGGTTCTTTGTGCAGAGCAGATGGGACCCACGCTCTGGAGAGAGAAATCAGAAACTGGATGCTGAGGGAAAATAAAGATTCAGGATTGTTTGATGCTGAGGGAAAATAAAGATTCAGGATTGTTTGATGCTGAGGGAAAATAAAGATTGAGGATTTTGTTTGATGCTCTGAGAATTCAGTCCAGGAGAGGAGGTGCTGGCACAGTTTGCAGCTGAGAGAGGAGAGGTGTTGGGTTTAAAGGGAAAAGCTCGGTTTCACATGAGCTGTTTCCACACCAAGGGTAATTAYACCAAAGTCAATGGATTTGCAAGGATTTCCACCCTCAGAGCAGGGAGCAGAACRTGGCCCAGAGGAGGCAGGGAGGGCMGATTTCCACGTGTTTTCCTGGGGATCTGAAGGGCTGATTGTGGGCAGGGGTTTGTTTTATGCTGCCAGCACTGGAGTTTCAGGTCTGTGCGTGCTGTGGACTTGAGGTTCCCTCTCCTCCCTGAGCCTCAGATGGATTTGGGRTATTGCTGCCCTCATTTACAGCAGCCCCAAAGCCCTGGAGCTGCACCATCAGCTCTGCAAGAAATTCAGATTTTCCCCAAGGCTTGTCCCTCCCAACCCCTTCCCCTCCCAGTGTGTCCCCTCTGCTGCTGGAGAGTGGAAAGGACTCACCAGAATYGGACCTGAACAGGCAAAGGGTGCCCAAAAGGAAAACCCTGCGTGACCAGAATACAAAACCAAACCTTGATTTGGTTTTGGGGGAGAAAGCAGCCTGCTGAGAGGATGAGGAGTGTGTGGCAGCTCAGGATGGAGCACAGCCATGGGGAGAGCCAGAATGGATTGACCTCCAAATGCTCCTTGAGCTCAGCTTCTCCTT